CTCTTTTGAATATCTGGCCCCACACATGGCAACAGTCAAGGGTTTAATGTTTATCAGCACTCTGTTTTGTTTTTTAATACTTCTCAGTGGCCTTAGTAAAAAGGAAGGCTGGTCCAGTGGTTAGGCCACTAGCCTGCCACTTGCAAGATCCAGGTTCAGTTCTCAGCTGTGCCACAGACTTTCCCCCATGACCTTGGGCAAATCACTTGTTTTTCTCTTTGGCTCAGTTCCATATTGATAGCAGCCTTCAACTACCTGAGGCGGGGGTTCCAAAGAGGATGGAGCTCGGCTGTTCTCAGTGGTGGCAGATGACAGAACAAGGAGCAACGGTCTCAAGTTGCAGTGGGGGAGGTCTAGGTTGGATATTAGGAAAAACTATTTCACGAGAAGGGTGGTGAAGCCCTGGAATGGGTTACCTAGGGAGGTGGTGGAATCTCCATCCTGAGAGGTTTTGAAAGCCCAGCTTGACAGAGCCCTGGCTGGGATGATTCAGTTGGGGTTATTACTGCTTTGAGCAGGGGGTTGGACTAGATGACCTCCTGAGGTTCCTTCCAACCCTAATCTTCTCTGATCTGTAAAATGGGGCTAATAGCACTGCCGTGCCTCCCATGGCGTGAGGATAAATACACTGAAGACTGCGAGAAGCTAAGACACTATAGTAATGGCTCCATATAGATACCTAAGATGGATGATTTGGAAGTAAATAAAGTTCTTAACCCTTAAGGTTCTATGTGTGATTCTATTTCTCCAATAGGAAAAAAAGAATCATACTAATGGGGACCAGCCAGGCCACCCCTCCTGGCAGACCCAGGACTGTGCAGAGGCAGCCACCCTCTGGGAGAATTCGGATCCCAGGTGGTGTCTGCCCTCCTCCTCCCCCCCCTCCAACCTGACCTGGGGGAAAACAACACATGGAAACCAGCCAGCGACTCCAGCACATCGGTGCAGAAGCAGTCAGAGCAGGGACACTTAAAACTTTCTTCAGTTTTGACTAGACTTTCTCTGCCCTGTGCTGATTGGCTGTTTCCTCCAGCCTCCCCCTCCCCCCCACCCAGTATCTTCACCTCAGATTCATTCTCTTTTCCCCTTCCCTGCCCCCCCTCAACCTCCTTCCCTGATTCCCTACTAACTATCCCCCTCTCCAAAAAATTGTGGCTCTACCATGACATTTGCTGCCACCACATTGTTCACTATGCTTGTGTGTTACACCCCTTGCCTCACCGTGTCTGTCTTGTCTATTTGGATTATAAACTCATCAGGGCAAGGACTGTCTGAACAGTGCCTAGAACAACGGGGCTGCATTCCTGGTTAGCCTTTAGGCACTACTGTAATAAACATCATTAACAAACAACAACAACAATAATAATAATAATAATAATAGAAATTTGTTAAAATGAAAATGTTCTTTTTTATTTGAGCACTAACTACTTTGTGTTGCAAAGCTATATTGCAGGCAAATCCTGGTGTAAACTCAGCAGCATCAACTTTACTGTTTGCGTTTTGCTTCTTTTGATTGTGTTTACAGTCAGAGTATGGTGGAAAGCAACTACACTCCCAAGTCCATTTGACACACAAACTTCTGTCATATTATTTCTGAATGCCTATTTATGCAATTTGATATTTAAGTGCTATTTTATGGCATACTTTTGGCCACAATACAATAGGACATGTTCTTCTGTCCTGTGCTTGACTTCATGAAAGGTACATGCATAAATCAATGATGCTTTCCAGTAAAGTGCTTGGGATCTATTTCATCACCAATTTAACCTGTGACCGAGAAATAAGATGCAGGCAAATTGTTCGCCATTATTTGTGAAACTATAATAGACAATGTAGAGCTAGAAAAGCATTTAAATGCTGTATCATTTAATGAATGAACCTTCAGTCTAATGGGCAAATTGCTCTCTGTGTGGGTTCTTCTCAGATACGGGAGTTAAAATGCAGCAAATTTCAACTCATTGCGTTTTCTGGAAATGTTTCCATTTGGAATGGCGCAGTTTGCTTCCCACTGGACAGATGCAGTGGGATCCTCCTACTCAGCCTGTGGATTAACCATAGGCAAAGAGCTTTCCTACAGAGGCCTCCTGCCTCACTACTGCTGCCCTGCTCTACTGGCCCCTCAAGGGTTCCTGGATAGCATAGCACTGATATGAAACCTATAGGAGACACGGTGTCCAGAAGCTCCCTCAACTTTGACTGCTTCTGAAACACCTCTCAAGGGGCATTTCCAAATCACCATGGGAGACTCAGCGTAAGTTGCTACAGACTCCTTCTGGGGGTTTGTGAGAGAGGATTCAAACAGAGCTTGGAGATGGAGTTATGATTTGTCTACCCTAAGTCTTGGAAGGAACTGGAGAAGTCTCCTAGGTCTTGTGTGCACTAAAAAGGTTTAGCCAGTAACCGCCCCTGTCATAAATGTAAAGGGAAGGGGAAACCCCTTTAAAATCCCTCCTGGCCAGAGGAAAAATCCTCTCACCCGTAAAGGGTTAAGAAGCTAAAGGTAACCTCGCTGGCACCTGACCAAAATGACCAATGAGGAGACAAGATACTTTCAAAAGCTGGGAGGAGGGAGAGAAACAGACGGTCTGTGTCTGTTGGTATGCTGCTTTGCCGGGAATAGAACAGGAATGGAGTCTTAGAACTTTTAGTAAGTAATCTAGCTAGGTGTGCGTTAGATTATGATTTCTTTAAATGGCTGAGAAAAGAACTGTGCTGAATAGAATGACTATTTCTGTCTGTGTGTCTTTTTTGTAACTTAAGGTTTTGCCTAGAGGGATTTTCTATGTTTTGAATCTAATTACCCTGTAAGGTACCTACCATCCTGATTTTACAGGGGGGATTCCTTTACTCCTATTTACTTCTATTTCTATTAAAAGTCTTCTTGTAAGAAAACTGAATGCTTTTTCATTGTTCTCAGATCCAAGGGTTTGGGTCTGTGGTCACCTATGCAAATTGGTGAGGATTTTTACCAAACCTTTCCCAGGAGGTGGAGTGCAAGGGTTGGGAGGATTTGGGGGGAAAGATGTGTCCAAACTGCGTTTCCCAGTAAACCCAGTTAGAGTTTGGTGGTGGCAGTGGTTATTCCAAGGACAAAGGATAAAATTAATTTGTACCTTGGGGAAGTTTTAACCTAAGCTGGTAAAAGTAAGCTTAGGAGGTTTTCATGCAGGTCCCCACATCTGTACCCTAGAGTTCAGAGTGGGGGAGGAACCTTGACAGCCCCCAAGTGGAGACAGAGCTCATACTGGTAAAAAAGTGCATTTGCCAGTATAACTTATACCAGTTCCCTGAATGAAATAAGCTGCAGCAGCAAAAGGCCTTTTTGCTGGTATAACTACATCTATACTAATGTTTTGCTGGTATAGCTATGTCAATTGGGGTGTGCAAACCAGGCCCGAGATTTCTGTCTGCTGTGTCCTCTGTATGCTATACTCTGGCACCCAACAATACACTTTTTTTCACTAACTCCATGGCTAGGCAGGCTTCCAGAGATACAGGTGCATTTTTAAGTGATGCTGCTTTGGTTTTTTTAAAGAATTTTAAGCTATTTTCTCTTCTAATGGTATTTGAAATAAGTTCTTCTGTAGAATTCTGTTCAGTTTTCTTATCTCCAGTATTATATTTAAAAGTCTTAGAAGAGAGATAAAGCCTCATGCTTCAGGGCATAAGCCAAGAACTAAGGCCTTGTCTTCACTGCAAAAGATGGTGGGTTTTTTACATTGAGAGTTAGTTTGAGATAACTATCCTAATGTAAAATCCTAGACATGGCACAGGTACTTATTAACTCGTTAATCTTATACTGTGCTCTTAGGACTGGCCTCAGTGAGCTACAGGTAAAGTAAAAACCAGCTGTGCCTTCTCTCCACTAGATTTTACCTGGGGAATGCTTTATCAATTTAGAAACCTACCGTTTTTTTTCCCCAGTGAAGACATAGCCTACCTGTCCTGGTCTAGGCAGTAACTTTCCCAATGGGCAAGCTATTCCTTATTCATTCACCTCAGGGGAGGAGGGGTGGGGGGGAGAGAGTTGCACCTTTTCTGAAGCATCTGGTACTAGCCGCTTTTGGTTACAGGATACTTGGACTACCTCAGGAACCATTGGTCTCATCCAGTCTGGCAGTTCCTATTTCCCTTGAAATAATGGTGTTCCAGTATCTACTCAAAGGACACAACCCTATTATTAATCCCAAACTGTCACCTCGTGTCAATCAGTGTAGCTCCTTTGACTTTGACGGAGTTTTTGTAAGGAGAGGTATCAACAGCTACTAGTATGGGAGCAACTAAGCAAATGAGATGATATAATGTTAGCGTGGGAGTGACTATGCTATTGTACATGGTAAACATCTGAACATGCCCAGAGACAACTTAAATGGTCCCAAAAGTCTGACCAGACTCAGGCTGAGCTGGCTGCTCTTGTAGTTAATAAAAATGCAGGTGCCTGTGTTTTGCTGATCAGGGCCAGAGTGCTCAGCACTTTACTGGAGCAAGGCCATGCACTGTATAATGTAGAGAAAGAAATGTACTTCCTTTTCATTACAACCATCTTTCCTGACATCTGTGATTCAAAAGTAAGGGTCTCAGGGCCTTGTCTACACACAATGTCGCTATATTGGTACAGTTGAAGTGATACAATCCCACCCCCCACCTCTCCGTGCGGATTCAGTGATATTGGTATAAATATGCTTTCTATTGGTAGAGTTAGTTCTGTAAAGGAATGGAAATAGCCATGCCAGTAAAAGGAACCTTTATTTCACCAGTATAACTTTGTTCACACTAAGGGGTTTACCAGTATAACAATTTAACTAAAAAGAATCACATCCTAACTGAAATAGGTTTCAGAGTAGCAGCCGTGTTAGTCTGTATTCGCAAAAAGAAAAGGAGTACTTGTGGCACCTTAGAGACTAACCAATTTATTTGAGCATAAGCTTTCGTGAGCTACAGCTCACTCCACTGAATGCATCCGATGAAGTGAGCTGTAGCTCACGAAAGCTTATGCTCAAATAAATTGGTTAGTCTCTAAGGTGCCACAAGTACTCCTTTTCTTTTTGCTAACTGAAATAGTTATACTGGGATAAAAATTATGTGTAGGCCAGGCCTTATTCTTATTTCCACTGAGGCCACTTTATCACATTTGGCAATGTAAAGTGGTTTTAGTGTAATGAGACTCAGGCTCAAACTTTACTTACAAGAAGTTATTTATGCTAAGTAATGAATCTGAGCAATAGTTATATTTTACCTTGGGAATAAAAGCAACACATTAGAAATGTTTCTAATTCCCATCCCTCCCCAAATAGTGTAAACAGTAGTATTGGAAAGTTTCTCATAAATTTATTACATTTTCTGTCCACACATAATACTATCAAACACAGTTAAATTTAGAAATGTTTATGGTTATGTTCCATTTGTATACAGAGTAACACAGTTTGTAAGCTAATAATATCTTTACAGTCTTTTCAAGATCCCCAAGTTTCTCGTTTCCCTGAGTTGTATGATGCGTCTAACCAGAACCCTGTTTGTGTCTCAACAGAAAAATGAAAAAAATCAACAAAGCAGAGATGCCGCTAGATACCAGCTCAGAGACAATTCTATAGTCTAGTCTGTCAGTTACCTGCTTCTGTCTCATACTAGCAGAACATGAACTGGTGTCAGACAGTCAGGGGCTTGCCTCACCCTTGAGTTTTTAATTTGTTAACCCTTTGCATCTTGGATGGTTATAAACCCAGCTGCTTTTGTCTCTTCACCTATACGTTTGCACCCAATTACTTCACATTACAGATGCTCACTGGCTTCAGCAAGTGCAGGAACAGGCCACAAAATGGACTCAGGTGTCACATCCCAAAAGAAGCAGTCTTAACTTTAATGCTTTTCAGATAGCACAGCCCAAACAAAACAATCTATATGCAAAACATACAGCAGATACAGAATAGGCCAAATTCTGATCTTAGTTACACCCGAGCCGTTCCATTAACTGGAGGTGTAAAAGAGTAGAATATGGCCCATTATCCTTAAAGGAATTTTGGACAAGACGGATAATTTATTAAGGGGAGCAAGCTATGGGCCAATCAGTAACAAATACAAGAAACAAAATAAGTATAAATCTGCTATTCCACATGCATGCTATAAGACTGTATAAGCCTACATAACAATAGAGGCAGTACAGGACATCCATACAGCATAAAAGATGGACAGTACTGGAAAAAGAGACCTGAGTTACAAAAATCATGGAATTCAAGGGTTTTGAAGATCAGCAACCCTGTGTGTGTTTTAAAGTGTGTCACTGCTCTCTGCTGGATGGAATCAGAACTGCTCAGCAGTGCATCATAGGCACTATACTGGTAACAGCAAACTGATATTCTTTAGATGAAAGGGAGCTGTGCTTTTGGGACAGGAGTTTCATAGATTCACAGAAGGGATCATTGCGATTATCTGGTCTTGCCTCCTGTGTATAGCAGGCTATAGAACTGCCCCAAAATAAATCCTAGAACTTATTTTTAAGAAAAACATCCAATCTTGATTTAAATATTGTCAGTGACGGAGAGTCCACCATGACCTTAGTAAATTGTTCATTCCAATGGTTAATTACCCTCCCTGTAACCAAGTTCTGAGTAGCCATGGTGTTCAGCACAATGACAAGTGGACAGTTCCTAGCTAGTCACAGATTTGTTACAATATTAAAACAATAAAGCTTGCAAGTTCAAAGACATCAAGATACTTACAATCAAGCCAAAGAAACTGTGTGGATGATATAGCTATCTTTTCAGTCGCATTTTGATGAGATTTGTGATTTAAAGTTTTTAGTGGGAAAAAATATCATGCTAAGGAATATTTCTTCTTTAAAAGATCACTTTGGTGGGGATTGCATTCAGTAGTTTTCCTTACTACATCGTTGTGATTCTGAAGCTAATACTGTCCTTGCCATACTGATACATTAAAAAAAAAAATTCAGTACTGCTCTAATAGCTTTGTAAGGCAGTTCTGCCTAAGGTATTGTTTTTATTTCCCTTCTGTTCTGACATGATCTGAAGGCCATTGATTTTTAGCATGTTTGAAACTTTTCCACTTTTATTTCTTTCTCTTTCATAAATCATTTCCCCTTGAAAGCTTTTGACCATGATTATGGCATAGCACAACAAATTCAATGTTTACTTGCAAAAGGCAGCTGAATTAAACTTCTTCTAGGGACTCATCTTTACTTAGGCAAAACTTTCAATGAAGTTGATCGGATTGCTATCCTGATTCCATTGACGTGTTAAGGTTATCATGGGACAAATCCTGCTCACCTTAGCTCCCAATGAAGTCACATAAGTAAGGTGGACAGGGTTGCCTCCTGCTTTTTAATGGTAAAGCCCAGCTCCCTTGCCAGTGTCTTCATATAAAATCATAGGCACCAAAAGCTGCAGGAAAATAACACTAGAGCATTGCTGAGTTCTGTCAGCATGGATCACCTGTCATCTGCTCAGTGCTCAACTCATTTGTCTTACCTTTAACTGGCTACATCATATCTTTCATCAAGCCCCAGTGATGAACAGAAATACTGCTTTACATTTTGCTTTGAATATCTTTCTCTTTCATTATGGCTTTCTGTATAATATTCGTAAGTGATGCTTTAGCACTTGATATAGGTTGTCATGTAATCACACTAGATTCTGACCAAGCACGAGAATGTTCCTGCTTTGTAACAGAGAATCTGTTCTTTGGGAGAACTTTGAGTCCAAACAACCTGCAAGCAGCAACTCGATACTTCTTAGACATAATGTTGTACAGGATAGGGTTGATGGCAGCACTAAGGTAGAAGAGGACAAAGGATACCAAGTTGCAGTACTGGCTGATCACAGCTATCTCCAAGGATCCGGCTTCAAAGGATTTGGAAAACAAATATCGTCCTACATGAAAAGGCAACCAGCAGAGTATGAAAGCAAACACCACCACAGCTGAAATGGAAACAGCAGAAGAATATTAAAACAATAGGTCATTTAAAATTAAATGTACTTCTTTAATACTAGTGAAATTTAAAGAGTGTGATTTGCATAAAGTAAAAAGCTGATCATAATTTATTTTATTTTTTGGTATTTGTTTTTCCTAAATTAATATCTACATTATTAATAGATTATAAATCTCATTAATAATAATACAGTAAATATACAGCTATATTTTAATATATAAATCCCAGTCGAGTTTAGTGTAGAATAGTTTTCAACTACATCACTTTGGGTTTTTGCTAAAACAGGATTGGAGGAACAATATAGTGATGAAAACACTGACATTAAGTGTTTTCAATTAACGGTAACATACACAGTGTTTAAAAAAGCTCATAAATATAACTGATGGCTTTAGAACTGCAATTTTACATTAAAAGTGTACGGACATAGAGCTATATTGAATCTGGGTAAAGGACTCAAAGAAAGGGAAAATGAAACTGGAGCTCTGGAAGATTTATCTGCAAGATAATGAAAGACAATAAAACAAGCTACTAAGGCAAGCACAATCCATCCTATGAACCTTCTGGCTTGTATATTGCTCTTGAGAATGAATTACCCCAAGAAGAGCAAAGCTAAAAATATGCATTTGAAAACTTGAGCTTTTGCCCATTTTGCTTTCTACACTTCCTGGAAAGTGGGGAATATTTTCTATTGGTTCATTACACATTATTGGTTCAACAGTACTTTTTAAATTGTTTTGAATAGCCCTATTCACATACAAAAAAGACACACGAATTTCAAGATAGAGTTTTTAACAGCCTTTTCATTTGGTAGTTAACTTATTTGATTTTACCAGAAAACTCATTTTGTTTATTATCGTATCTGGGTAAGATCCTGGCCGCACTGAATTTAATGGGTGTTTTGCCACCGACATCAATGGGGCCAGGTGTGTCATGCAATGGCTGAAACAATATTTATAGAGTGTGATTGAAAAGCAATTGAAAGGGGATAATTATCACCAGCTTTTCACAAAACATGATTTCTATGTTTAAATGCACATACAGCGAGAAATCATAGTCTCCCAATTCTGCTGAAAGCAGCTTGATTTTGGGAAAACCATTTAATAAGTTTCTGCCTCGGAGTCTCCATTTGTAAAATGGGACAGTAATATTTCCCTTACTGAGTCTTAATTTATAAGAAATTAAGATAATCTAAGAGAAGGTGCTAAGGAATCAGATTTCAGAGGAACAGCCGTGTTAGTCTGTATTCGCAAAAAGAAAAGGAGTACTTGTGGCACCTTAGAGACTAACCAATTTATTTGAGCATGAGCTTTCGTGAGCTACAGCTCACTTCATCAGATGTTTACCGTGGAAACTGCAGCAGACTTTATATACACACAGAGAATATGAAACAATACCTCCTCCCACCCCACTGTCCTGCTGGTAATAGCTTATCTAAAATGATCAACAGGTGGGCCATTTCCAGCACAAATCCAGGTTTTCTCACCCTCCACCCCCCCACACAAATTCACTCTCCTGCTGGAATCAGAGTTACTATTATAAACCAAGGCCAACATTTTCAAAAATAAGATACGTATGAAAAATCAGCTTGACTGGGCTGAATTTAGGTATGCTGAGCCATATTTAGCCTCTAAAAGCTAATGGCGTGATCGTCAAAGATGTTGAGTCCTATTGATTTTACTGAAAACCACACAACTTTTTTAGGCCCTTGAATATGGATATAGAAGCCTAACTTTGCCTTTTGATAATTTTGAATTGTTGGCCATTCAAATCAATGGAAGCTGAGGGCATTATGCACCTTGCATTACTGAACCCCTATTAAGTTCTTTCATTATATCCGTCATTAGATTTCCATCGGGTAGATAATGTTGTCTTTCTCTTAAAGGATATTCTAGCCACATGCAGTGTCATTGTAGCTGTGTCAGTCCCAGGATATTAGAGAGACCAGGTATGGGAGGTAATATCTTTTATTGGACCAACTTCTGTTGGTGAGAGAGACAAGAGTTCGAACCTGAAGAACAGTGCTGTGTGGCTCAAAAGCTTGTCTCTCTCACCAACAGAAGTTGGTCCAATAACAGATTCTAGCCACAGTCCTTTCATTCTCTGATGTGGTGTGAAGCAAGGTGTTTGAAATATTATTAATGTTTGCAGCAGTGCTTTAGGATTGAGGTAAGTATTTTAGGATTGGAAATTGGTATATTTAAACTTTTAGAAATATAAATATGGAAATGAGGTACTGGAGGGTTTTCTTCCTGTAACAAGCAAAAATTCACAATTCTGAAAATTTAGATCAGGAAACAGAAGTGTAAGTAGTGAGTTACTTCCAAGGTAACACCTAACCCTCTGAAGTAGTCTATCGATCCTAAAATGTAATTGAAGGTACATGAAGTATCACAGCTTTTATCACACATGCTGTTGTTGCCTAGTAAATTAAAAAAACATACGAATAAAACAATCAGTTAGATACAGTTAATAATTTAGATACATGGGACCACACTGTGTAGCTCTTTGGCCCATTACTCCAACTTAATTGAATTTAGTAAAGTGGGGCTGTCTCCTGCAAAACCTTATTCATGTGAGAAAAAGGTTACCTACATGAATAGACCTTCTGAAATCAGTGGGATTACTCATATGTGAAAGGACTACTTGCACAGGATCAATGCTGCTAGAATAATAAGAGAATTTGTAATTTTCTACCAATAAACTGATGGTAATTTTTTTCAAACTGATGGTGCCAGAAAGTGTTATCTTTTTCTGTACTAGTGGATCTAGTCCATACATGGGATGCCTGTTAACTGCACTGACATTGAATGCTTATGGGGTCAGATTCTTTAGGGTTAAAGACATGTGCCCATTTGTATGTTAAGGTTAATATTTTACAAGCAAATAATATTATTTTACTGAAAATATTTAAACATACTAAATTAAAAATGACAGGGGCTAATGACTTGGTCTTGTTTCCCACAAGTCAATGGGAGTTTTGCCATTGACTTCAATGGGAGCAGAATCACAGACTCTAAAAGAGAGAGAATATTCCTTATTAAGTACTTTAGCTTTCATTACATTAATAAACTATATTTGTTAGTTTTCTTCAACAGGCTCAAAGAAATTGACATTCCCATAATTCCCTACATGCATTGATCCATTCTGTTTAGATCTCCTGCAATCAAACATCATGCTTTTAGAAGGGTTTCGTTTTGTGGATAAATACAAATCCTCTCAAACTGGCATTTGGTACCTTTAATTAGTTACAAAGAGGTTCAGGAATTTTCAGTGCAATAGTGATTGTAATATTGATATTTTTCATTAATTATTCTTTTCAATATCAGAGATTGTTATATTAATATCTGCCCAAATATTTTGCATAGGACGCCGGTATAAGTCACAGAGAGTGAAGAGTGTTGTTATATTGCTACTATAAACTTTAGCCATATAGTAAAAATGGTCTATAAATACTTCACTTTTAGTGACCATTTTAAAGCACCGTCAATGTCTCTCTCTCCCTCTCTCTCTGACACACAAACGCCCAACAGTAAAATGGAATTAATATAAAATCCTACCTAACATTTTCACAGTTTGTTTGTTGTTCTTGTCCCTGACAGAGGTATTTGGTCCTATGTTCTTTCTCTTCCTCCTCCAGATTTTCCTCCCAATAAGGCTGTAAAGCACAGTCAGGCAAAACACAGGCAGGAAAAAGAAGACGCTGGAGGTCCAGACCATGATGGTGAGCAGCCCTGATTTGATCGCATACTCCGTAGCTCTGCACTCGTTGGTGTCCAAGGGGTTCGTTCCATTCTCGTGCTCAACCCCAACCAAGACAAAAATAGGTCCCGCGCTTGCAAAGGACACAGCCCAGAGGACCAGGATGACCAGCTTGACTTTCCCTTTGGTGATCACTACTTTTGCTTTGAGGGGGAAACAGACGGCGAAGTACCTCTCCACGCTCAGGGCTGTGATGTTGAGGATGGTGGAGTAAGTGCAACTTTCGCTGACGAACTGGAAGAGCTTGCAGAGGAGGTCTCCGAAGTTCCAGGGTCGGTACTGCCAGAGCCGGAAGAGATCCAGGGGCATGCAGAGAAAGATCAGCAGGTCGGAGAAAGCCATGCTGGACAGGTAGAGGTTGGTCGTAGTCCGCATGTCTCGGAACCGGGACACCACCAGCATGGTCATGAGGTTGCCTAGAATCCCAACGACGAAGAGGAGGACGCAGGTGACCGTGATGCCCGTCAGCACCGGGGCTGGGAACAGGTGCACGGGGTACTCGGGCCAGGTGTCGTTCTCGTAGCCCGGGGCAGGCGCGCTGGAGTTCGGCCAGCCGCTCTGGTTCCACATCCTGCCGCCTACTCCGGGGGCAGCAGGCGGGTTCCGCGGCTCGGCGGCTCAGCTTGTCCGGGGCAGCCCCGCGGCGCTGGGGTGCTGGAAGGAAGCAAAGGCGGGCGGCACAGGGTTAGAGACCGGGGGGCACAGGGCCCTTAGCAACCGAGCCGGCCCCACCAGCCACCCCGAGGCCACAGGCGGCTGCGCCCCCAGCCCTCTCGGCCTCTGCACCAGGTGCGAACCCCCTCCTCCTCCCCGGGCTTGCAGGTGCCCGGCGCCCCATCGGCGGCTGCCCCCTAAGCAGCAGCAGCGTTAGCCCCCGTCCCGTTCTCCGCTGTACCTGCTGCTCCTGCCTCTGCCTCCCCGGCTCACCTGCCCTCCGAGCTCCATCTCCGCTGGCCCAGCCATCCGGGCCGGGGCCGCCGCTGGAGCCGCTCTGCTCCGCTGCCGCCAGGCGCCGACCGGGGGCTGCTGCGCTCGCAGGTGCGGCCGGAGGGAACAGCTGGGGCCGCCCCGCGCTGCCCTCTCCCCCCTGGGCCACTGGCCCTGGCGGCGAGCCCGCCTCCCCGCGCTCCGCGGGCGGGCTGGGGGCTGCAGGGTGGCCGCTCCCGCGGAGATCCCGGCAGCGCTGGGGCCAGGGGAGGGGAGATAGCCAGAGGGGGAGTGTGAGCCAGTGTGTGAGGAGAGAGGGTGTGACTGTGTCAGGAAAGGGTGTGTCCCTGTCAGAGGAGAGGGCTGTCCTGTGTGTGTGTGTGTGTGTGTGTGAGAGAGAGAGAGAGAGAGTGGAGAGGGCTGTTCTCTGTGTGTGTGTGTGTGTGAGAGAGAGAGAGAGAGAGAGGGGAGAGGGCTGTTCTCTGTGTGTGTGTGTGTGTGTGAGAGAGAGAGAGAGTGGAGAGGGCTGTTCTCTGTGTGTGTGTGTGTGTGAGAGAGAGAGAGAGAGAGAGAGTGGAGAGGGCTGTTCTCTGTGTGTGTGTATGTGTGTGAGAGAGAGAGAGTGGAGAGGGCTGTTCTCTGTGTGTGTGTGAGAGAGAGAGAGAGAGAGGGAGAGAGAGGGCTGTTCTCTGTGTGTGTGTGTGTGTGTGTGAGAGAGAGAGAGAGTGGAGAGGGCTGTTCTCTGTGTGTGTGAGAGAGAGAGAGAGAGAGAGAGTGGAGAGGGCTGTTCTCTGTGTGCGTGTGTGAGAGAGAGAGAGAGAGGAGAGAGGGCTGTTCTCTGTGTGTGTGTGTGTGAGAGAGAGAGAGAGAGAGTGGAGAGGGCTGTTCTCTCTCTCTCTGTGTGTGTGTGTGTGTGTGTGAGAGAGAGAGAGTGGAGAGGGCTGTTCTCTGTGTGTGTGAGAGAGAGAGAGAGAGAGAGAGGAGAGAGGGCTGTTCTCTGTGTGTGTGTGTGAGAGAGAGAGAGAGAGAGAGAGTGGAGAGGGCTGTACTGTGTGTGTGTGAGAGAGAGAGAGGAGAGGGTTGTCCTGTGTATGTGTGTCAGAGGAGGGGGTGTACTGGGTGTGCATGTGTGTGTGAGCGGAGAGGGCCGTACTCTGTGTGTGTGTTTGTACGTCAGAGGAGGTGGTAGATGGGGGGTTGTGTCCCTGTCAGAGCAGAGGGCTGTACTGTGTGTGTACCATCAGAGAAGGGTGTGTGTCAGTGTCAGAAGAATGGGTGTATTGTGTGTGTGTCAGCATCAGAGGAAAGGGGTGTATTGTGTGTGTGTCCTGTTGGAAGGGGGTATATTGTATGTGTGTTGGTTGCAGAGGAGGGTGTCTGTCTGTGTCAGAGGAGAGGGGTGTATTGTGCATATGTGTCCTGTCAGAGGAGGGGGTGTATGGTGTGTATGTCAGTGTCAGAGGCGAGGGGGTGTACTGAGTGTGTTGGTGTCAGAGGAGAGGGCAGGGATGCTGGAACTAGGGGTTCTGGGTAGTAGCACCCCCTGGCTTGAAGTGATTTCCATCATATCCAGGGTTTACAGTTTTGTTCAATGGCTTTTGGCCAAACCAAGAGCTGAGTGTGACTATAAAGGTAGATTGTCCATGACAAAGTCAGTGTAGAGTGTGCAAAAGTGCTGGAAAAGAGACAGCTATGTGTGAGGGGTTTTGTAGACAGAGCATGGATGTGACAGAAAAAAATGTGTGGATGTGTATGAGGTGTCAGTGTGGTCGAAAAGAGGTGTGTGTGTGTGTGTACATGCAAACAGTGCATGAGTGCTAGGCAGGAAGGTGGGCATATGCAGGGGGTGCCAAACAAAGGGGTGAGTGTGGTTCAGTGCAAAGTGTTAGTATCTGTGAAGAGAGAGTGTGTAAAAGGTCTTGGGAGAGAGACAGAAGTTTGGGATTTTTTAGGGGGAAATGGGTGTTTGAGGAGGGGAGCAGACAGTGTATGCTGTGTGCTGGGTTAGCAATGGCCTGGATAGGAAGAGCGCCCAAGCTCTCAGGGAAAGAAATCTAGAGGTCAGTGAAAGAAGCCCCATGTGTCAATGTCTGAAGAGCTGCAGTACAACTGATCCGCAGCCGCTGGAAGGAGGCCAGAGAGAAGAGAAGAACCACATGGGCTACATTATTTTGTTCAGCAAATCAAATCTGCACTTGTAAAACTGTGCAGTAAGGAGCTGACAGTTCTTGCAATTGATTTCTAACTTTCTGATATTTCCTTAGGTGTTGGTTTAGGTTAGTTTGTTTCCACAATGTGTGCAGTAAAAACCTGGTGCAGGGGCCCCAGTGTATGTGTCTTGCTGTTTTTGCTGCTAATCTTGTTACAAGAGGGATTTCAAGGGGAAGAGGAGGATACACATAAGGGTGCAAATGACATGATGACTAAATTTGTAGGTGGCTTATGTGACTCCTGGTAAAGTAACAAGGCAGGCTGATGTTTTCTTCTCTTCATTCAGATCTGTAGTTCAATGACATTGAGCAGTGAACTTGTGAAATCAGATTTTTAAAAACACATCATACATGGAAGGAAGGAACTACTGTTCATCTGGAAGTTTTTTTCCCCACTGTACTGGGGGATTCCCTGCTCCTTGGTGATGAAGAGGGATTGTGTTTACCCAGGAACAAACTCTGGTTTTAAAACAAACCCTCCTTTTAGATGCATATTGCCCTCTGTCCAAGACAAACCTGATAGAAATGTGTCATGATGAACCTGTTGTGTATGAGAGTGAGAGAATCACTGCTCTCTAACACACAATTAGGGTGTATTAGAAGGGTGGAATCAGACTGTCACAAGCTCTTTATTGCCATCAGGTAGAGTGAATTGTCTGTGGGCCTCAGAGTAGTGTGATCTGCTACCATGAAATGCCAAGTGACCATTGTGTGCTGCAAAATAACAACTAGCCATAGGTGTCAACGTATCACCAAATCATTCACGTTAGGAATAGTGAATACAAAAACTGAGGTTCATGTTAATTAAACAAACCCTGTTGGCCAGTTCCTCAGCTGGTGTAAATTGGTGCAGCTCCATGAAGTCAGTGGATCTACCCTTGATTTAAACCAGCTGAGAATCTGGCCCAATATCTTTTAAAGTTTGTTTACAAGTCATCTTTAGGAAAGGATTTCTAACTGAAGTATCGGCACTTTTCACGAGAATAGGGTCCTAGATAAATTCTCTTTTGGCTTATTAAGTACATTCTGGGGCTGTCTACATTCCCCTCAATTTTTCAACTGGATAAGATATATTCTTCAGTTCCTGACATCAGTGGTTGTGAAGGGAGGTTATGATCTCTTGAACAGCTGCTACATTTTGATTAACAGGTGACTTCACTTTATTGGTGGTTTAAATGGTCTCTGTGTGTAGTTTGTCTATTAAATTTGCAAAGTACACTGCAATCTCCAGAGTTGGAAGCATCTGTTAGTATCACTATCCAATAGCTGCAAATCTAGGGCTAAACACCAATGCTTCTGGGGCATTATACCTCTGAAAGTGACTTCTTTCAGATGACATAATACCAGAGCCCTGACCACTTATAGTCACTGAAGATTCCACAGTACGTTTTGTAATCATAGGGGTGTTATGGCATGCTGGCCATATTCCAGTTTGCTTAGGTTTGTTTTACTTACCTAAACTCTTCTTGGACTTTCAGTTGTAGTCAGTATTGTTCAGTTCTGACTGTAGCATAATGTTCCTCTGAGCTATTCAACAATTGCTGGATTTCACCCCAGAAGCGGCTGAAAATCCGTGGTGGTTGATTTGAAGAAATATCTTTCTATGCAGCTATCTGCTTCTCTATTCATCTGCCTTTCTAATTATGTTGCCAACTTTCTAACTGCAGAAAACTGAACACTCTTTCCCCTTCCCCACCCCTTCCCCCAGGCCTTGTCCCTGCTCACTCCATCCCCCTCCCTCCATCGCTCACTCTCCTCCACCCTCGCTCACTTACTCATTTTCATCGCTCTGGGGTGAAGCCAGGGTTGAGGGGTTTGGGGTGCAGGAAGGGCCTCTGGGCTGGGGATGAGTGTTTGGAGTGTGGGAGGGGGCTCTGGGCTGGGGCAGCGGATTGGGGTGTGGGAGGGGATATGGGCTCTGGGCTGGGGGTGTGGGCTTCAGGGTGAGGCCAGAAAGGAGGGGTTCAGGGTGCGGGAAGGGGCTCCAGGCTCAGGCAGGGGGTTGGAGTGCAGGAGGGGGTGAGGGCTCCGGCTGGAGGTGCAGGCTCTGGGGTGAGGCTGGGGATGAGGGGTTTGGGGTGCAGTAGGGGCTCTGGGCTGTGACCAAGGGGTTTGGAGTGTGGGAGGGGGTTCTGAGCTGGGGCAGGGGGTTGGGGTACAGGAGGGGGTTCGGGGAGTGGGCTCTGGGTGGCACTGACCTCAGGCGGCTCCCAGGAAGTGGCACCACCCCCACAGCTCCCATTGGCTGTTGTTCCCGGCCAGTGGGAGCCGCGGAGCCAGCACTCAGGGCAGCACCTGCGGGTTGCGCCAGCACACGGAGCCCTCCTGGCCACCCCTGCATCTAGGAGCTGGACATGCCATCTGCTTCCTGGTAGCCACCCGGAGCCAGGTAGGGAATCGGTCAGCCACGCTTCACTGCCAACTGAACTTTTAATGGTCAACACCGCTACCATAGTCCCTTTTTGATGGCTGTTCTGGTCGAAAACAGGACACCCGACAACCCTACTAAACATCATAGAATCATAGATTTTCAGGCCAGAAGGGACCATTGTAATTGTCTAGTCTGACCTCCTGCATAACATAGACCTTTCCTGTATTAATTCTTGCTTCAGATCCAGTAGCTGTGGTAGAACTAGAACAAATCTTTTAGAAAAACATTCAATCTTGTTTTTAAAAATTTCTAGTGATAGGGAATCTGCCACAACCCTTGGTAAATTGTTCCAATGATTAATTACCTTCACTGTTAAAAATGTATGCCTTATTTCCAGTAGAAATTTGTCTAGCTTCCACTTCCTGCCATTGGCTCTTGTTGTAGCTTAGGTAGATTAAAGAGCTCTATATCGTAAACATTAGTAATGGAAAAGATATAGTAGAACATCCAGTCCACATACTGCCAGCGCAGGATTGTTCCCTATCATTCATATTATTGTTTTGTGTCCAATCTAATTTAAATGATATCGCTCTATATAATAGTGGAACTGGTAGTGCTCCCTACATTTAGGTTGCCTAGCACATTGCATGAATACAAAGAATTCTTGCAATATTTTCTTTGAGAAGTTCTTGCACCTTCATTGTCTTCAGCGGACTTTTGATGCTTGGCAGGAAGAATGCCCTCAGGCTACTAATGTGCCTTTTCTTTGTCTCATGAAATCCTATTCAGCTTTTGCTGAGGGATAAACTTCCAGAAATCACCAGTTCCGATCTCTTGCTTTTGTTCCTCGGGATGATTGTGACAGCTCGCCTCGTGAACATTCTAAAGCTGGGGACATGTATGGCAGGTGGCAGGGTGAATGTGTGTGTGCTGGATTCTCCA